GATCTAACCCATCCCAGAGACACAAAAGCTTTCATATGCTCTAAGAATTCTAGGCTAGAAGATTCTAGACTTTTCTTGTTGTACCTTGCTTGGCAGTGCTACTGCAAGAGGGTTGTGCATGGCACCCTGGGCTAAGACTGACCAACAAATGCTTTTGCTTTAAATCCTTCAATGTCAGTTTTCCCTTATGTTTAGCATAGAAGATTTGTACAAAATGTTGAGGGGCAGCAACACAGTGAGAGATGGGGGTTAGATGGACAGAGGCAGCTAGCGCTAGCTAGCTAGACAGAAAGAGAACATTAACAGTTAACCCTAAAACCATAAGCTCCACTTGAAGTGACCAACTTTACTTTCACTCAATAGAGAGTTTCTGCATAAACCCTTTTTCTTTCTCAAATATCGGAGGACACCGGCAACCAGTCCAAAGAAACCCTCTAGACAAAATCCTCTAGAAAGCAGCTCTCCCCTTTGTTCTATGAGAGAGCCAAGGGGCCTCATTTAAGAACGAGGTTGGTGTGCACGCCCACTGGCAGCTGTATGTCTTTCAAAAGCATCTGTCATTCCTGCCCCTGCACTCGGCACCCTGTGGGACTGGGCTTCCCCATTGTGATGTCACTTCTAGTGTGTAGCATTCAAACCCAAATGATCTCTCAGGTGATAGCTATGGAGGTGTTTGTTGAACCTACTTTCATCCTAATTAGCATCAGGCAAGGATGAGCATTGGCAAGATGACTTGCCATGCTTGGCCCATGTACCATTTTCTCTTCATCCCTTAGCTTAAAGCACACTTACTGATTATCAATTAAGGTCCTTCAGTGGTGCACATGGTTTGGGCTCAACCACTAGCCTGGAGGCTCAACCACGGGGAAGAAAAGCTTAGTGCTCTTCTAAAGGCTCCAGCCAAGAAAACTATGGAGCAATCTGTAAAACAGAGTCAACACGAGTCCGGACTGGTATTGACAAGTGATAAATTAAATGATGTTTTATTACTTAGTGGAAGTAATAATAAGTACAATGCCTATTTATTCATTATTTACTCTATCTGCGTGTGTTCTCCAAGGTAGAGCCAACACTCAGGTTCTACAAATCCTGGGAATACCTGCCACTCCATTTTAGGGAGGAAAAGAGGCAAGGCGTTTCACTAGCTCTTTGTCTCACAGAAGGAGGCCTTAGCCATCTACGGAACCGACTGCCGCTCCTGGTCAGGAGGAGAGCAGCGCGAGGAAAATCAATTAGTTCAATGCACTAGCCAGGCCGGCGCGTGAACACCAGTCTTCCTGACTTTGTGACCAGAAGGACTCGTGGAGACCCAGATGCTCCGAACTGCTCTGAGAAGGGCTCCTGAATGGAGTGGGGAAAAATGGAACAAAACTCAACATCGTAAGAGACAAGGCTTACTGGTTGGATGCCCTTAGTCACCCTTCAGGTACGGAACTGACAAACAACAGGCAGAGAGCCTCCAAGGGGGACAGTTACACTAAGGAGGGATGCACACTTTAGAATAACCAACCACTGGAGATCAAAGGGGCAGTGTTTACCCAAGGACAGGGTTTAGAAGGGTTAGGAAAGGAGGAACTGCTACAAACGACAGAGAGAAGTGGGGTAAAACAATGTAACGCTGAGGGGATTGCAATGAATGAGAGGAAGCAAAAAGCGTATGACTTGTTGAACTCCAACACTGATGATCTGATTTGTGACTCTTCACCTAACTTGCAATAAAAAGGTTTACAAAAGGAAAGGACAAAGGAGGCCTCTATTTTTGTTTAACCTACTTCTAGTTCAGAGGCTATCCGGACACGGCAAGCGGCTCTCATTTGCCGGTCATTGCACTATCTGTCAGTAGCCAGGATTTGGGGCTAGAACTTCATGACTGGAACGCAGTGGAGGAAGGGCTTGACTTGGCCCAAAATGACAGAGTAGAGGCCCGCGCGTGGTAACAGCTTGCTTTCGGAAGCTTCACAGTCCAGAGAGAAACTCTCCGACGTGGCCATGCCGGGCCCCTGAAGAGTCCTGTGGTTCACAAGCCGGGAAGTGTAGAGGTTGGCCAAGGAGTTAATCAAAGGCTTTTACTTATTGTATATTATTTGAAGCAAGTGCCAGTTCATTCCAAGCTACTACCTTCCAAGGCAGTGTTTGGGCTGCTTGCTTATTTATCTCTTAATTCAAATTCTATGAAGTCATTTGCAGAGTGAAGTGGGACAATTACCATCGAGCCTGCAAGGACATTTCAGGGTGACACAGCAAAGGGAGGAAAACAATACCTAGCACGTGGGCACCACCGGCAGGCGCTCTGAACACGGGGAGGCTGTTCAAAGGAGGACTCTGAAGCAGTGACACAGACTAGAAAGAAAACACCCCTGGGGCTGCTTTGCAGGCTCCAGGTTGGTGTGTGGACAATGTTCATTCATGCTTCACAGGGTGAAAAAAAAGTAAGCGCTACAGCCGAAGGTTCCAGATACATGAGCAACCAGAGTGCTTCAAAGGTCTGGAGGCTGTGGATCATGCAGGGGCGATCATCAAGAGAGCTGGCAACCCACACAAACTCCCTCTGCAAAGAGAGAAGTCGAACAGGTTTCTGTGTGAGGTCTGTGTAGTGTTGCCGCCTCTTTTGAAGGATACTCAGTACTAAGGAAGTAAGCAATGATCAGGTGTGTTTTTTTCAAACTTGTTGCTGTGAATTGGGTGAAGGTTCACTAAGCAGATCAGTTTTCCATTCAATAATTTATACACATTTTAATGATTGGAATTTAAATATAAAAAAGGAATGTCCAGGTTATGTCATATATGCTCATTGACCCATTTTGTTTAATTTTTACTGTTCTGGTATTGTACTGAGCCCTGGTGACATAGTGGTTATGTGCTGGGCTGTTAACTGCAAGGTCAGCAGTTCAAAACCACCAGCTGCTCCTCATGAGAAAGGTGGGACTTTCTACTCCCATAAAGAGTTACAGTCTCAGAAACTCACTAGGGCAATTCTACCCTGTCCTACAGGGTCAGCTATGAGCTGGCACTGACTCGCTGGCAGTAAGTTTGCTTGTTTGTATGTTTGTTTTGTATTGCATTGTGATAAATAGGTCAATGACTTCAGAACTCCAGAGGTTTGTATAGAGGAGGATGAATGCTCAGACCAGCTAAATGAACAGACCAGGATCCCAGAGCTATCCCAGGCCTAGGCTTAGGGCACGCAGTCTAAGACGTTTCAGCTGGGGCCAGCAGGGTCAGGGAGAAACTAACTTACATGTACTCACTTAACATGTAATTTTAATTTGTAAGTATATTTTAGCATAATTGAACTTTCGGAAAACCAGTAAAAAGCATTATACTTATAAATGGATGGCTCTTCAATAGAATGAACAAGTGAGGCTCAAGACCATTCTGGATCAATGGAAGTTTCCTAAATATCTTCAGAGAATTCTGGAGTTTGAATGAATAAGAAATACATTCTTGGGGCACCTTAGGGGGCGAGGATCTTACACTCAGTGAATGCCTACTATTGGATAAGAACTGTGCTGAGAACCTGTATCTGTCAACTCACTTGATCCTCGTGGCAGGCAGATGGGCAAGGGGCCCTATCAGTGGAGATATGGAAAATCTAGCTCAAAGTCACACCAGTCACACTGCAGCTGCCATTCCTCAGACTTCTTTATCCATAACGCTGCCTGCGTCCCCACCCCACCAGCCTCCTTTACATCATCTTCTGCGTTGTCATTTACTTCTAATAATGTCGTGGACGGACTGCTGATGGAGCATTTTACGGTGAGGGCATCACATAAAAGAGTCATTCCTGTGGAAATGCAGAATGCCCACGCCACTCCCTCACTCTCCTGCTGTGCAGTGGTCACAGCAGATCTGGTGTAACCTGCAGTTGTCATCTGGTAGCCCCAGGGTTGTCATGCTTGCCTTTTAAAAGTGTTGGATTGGAGTGCCTTTTGGTGGAACAAGGGCTCTCTCCACAACTCCTTACTGTCTTCTGCACAGTGGTGCCCTCACTCATTCATATGCCTTTCCTCGGTTATATCCCTCGGTAGGCCTCTGAAGGTGTTGGGTTTGTGAGCCCTGGGACTCAGTGCTGATTGTAATCGTTCGCACTTCATGTCAGAGTTATGGTGCCTTTGAAGGCTTCTCCTAGACTGCTGTGAAGAGTGCTCACTGGGTAACTCCACACAGATGTGGTGTGTGTGTGTGTGTGTGTGTGTGTGTGTGTGTGTGTGTGTGATGCACAAACTGGAGTCACAGGGAATGACTGCACTGAGCGCAGGGCTGAGCTTTCCCCGTGTTACCATTACTCATGAAGATGAGGGACGTCAGGATGAGGGCAGGGGGAGAACGGCCACCAGGTCAGGGGTCTGCCACTGGTAAGCCCAGGTTTGCCTTCCTCAGTGCAGCCATCTCAGTGAATTCCAGAAGGCCAGGCTCCTCTAAAGTACAGAAATGACCAGACTCACTGAAGTAATTAAGAAACCCAAGTAGGGTATTTTCAAGCAAGGTGAGAAAAGAGCAAGTTTACACTTCCTTCTTAGAATGTTCCCATATTAACTGTGAAAACGACTGGTTGCTTTTATTTTCCCCCAAGTGCAGGGAGGCGCTGTGAATTCTTGCATTCTTTTACTCTCAAGGGAAAACGTAGTGATCCTTACCCCATCTGAAAGAGCGAACTCATAGCTACAGCCACAGTGATTCAGATCCCACAGCCAGGTCTGTACCAAACTTTGGTCGAACTACTCAAAACCTGAAGAGTAAGTGAACTAGAAACTACGAGAAACTGTGAGGCACAGGTGAGGCTCAGTTCCTTTCATGTATGGTGCTCTGTTCAGATTCATGACTCTGAGACTTTGGGTGCATCAAATAGAAAGTGGTTACACCACAAACAATGTGTGGGTAACGTAAGACCTTGAGCGGGTGACATGGCACAGTGTCTACCTGCTAGTTCCCACTCAAAGGATTTTCTATGAGGCAGTCCACCTACACTGGCAACCACACAGACGGCGCAGCAACTCTACCTCTTCAGGCAAGCTGACCACCAAGTCATGCTTCGTCTGTCCAACGAGGGCCTGCCAGAAGTATTCACTACATGCGGCCAGCACAGCCCGGTGGGCCCGGAACTCCCTCCTCTCCACGATCAGAGTCACGTCACAGAGAATATCCTTTTTCCGCTGGTCATTGAGGCCCAGGAGGATGTTGGTGCAGTGGACTGTGGACTCATACACATACATGGGGGAGTCAGGCTTCTCATCCACAGACATGCCGTTCACACCCTGAAAGAGAGAAAGGCCGAGTCACACACCTGTCAGAGGCAGAGGCAGAGGAGCCCGTGTGCTCACGGTTCTGCAGCCTGAGGAGCAGACTTGCCAATCGGCACGTTCAGGCTCAGTTTGCACAATGCGCTCAGAAAGCTTTTCTGGAGGGTCCCAGTCTCTGGCTGATTTCGCTGCATCCTTTCACCCCAGGGCAATGAGGTTTCCAGCCACAAAGCCAGGTTATTGAATGAACATGGAAAACACATAGGCACTTTAAAGTTCTGCAATTTTGATTTTAAGACTGAAAAGGAAATTCTCAGTTCAAGTTCCAATTGAGATTTGTGGAAAGAAGAAATGAATTATGTTTAAGCGTTTGCAGGGCTGTGTTGGTGATGTGCACATAGAATTCCTAAGTTGAAATTTGGCTAAGATTCTTAGCAGAGCAAATATCTCATTGTGATACAATTTAATAAATTAAACTCTGTGTGATATAAGGACCATATACACCAAGTTATTGCAACGGTCCTCTTTTGCAACTTCAGACAAATGACAACCCTCTAACAGTTTTTTTTTTTGGCTGTTAAAATATTTGGAATTGTGCTGTCATTATCTTAACATGGTTTTTTTTAAGGAGATAATTTGTATCATCAGGAGTCACCAAAAAGATAGAGTCAACAGTGAAGGCCAATTTTACACAAGCGGCCTGTCTTAGTTTATCTAGTTCTCCTATAGCAGGACTACCACAAGTAGCCGGCTTAAATAGAAATGTATTCTCCCGTAATGTAAGAAGCTAGAAGTGTGAATTCAGGGCGCTAGTTCCAGGGGAAGCTTTTCCTTTCCCTTGTCTCTGGGCGAAGGCCCCTGTCTCTTTCCTACATCGATGGGCCCAGCGTTCCTTAGAGATCAGCATGTGTCTTGGTACCAACCCTCGGGGCAGATGAGGTCCTCAGCCCCAGGGTCTCAAGTTAAAGAATATCCCTCCTCCCAGCTCTTCTTCCTTGGTGACAGTAGGTCACTCTTTCTGCTCGACCCTCTTTCCCTCTACCTCCGCAGGGGACAGATGATGCAGGCCCACTCCAGGAAGATCCTCTCATCCATCAGATCAGGTTGTACCCTGAATAAGTGCTGTACCCCACTCTAGTCTTGCATCAACATGACAAAAACAACCTAATTCTGATGATCACTCAGCACTAACTCATAGAGTTCAGGGTTTATAACACATCACAAAATGGAACATACTCGGATCAGATCACAGAATGAAGGGCAACCACATAATCACGGCCTAGTCAAGTTGACATCCAGTTTGGGAGGCCACATGTTAATGCCTGACAAGGTCTTTGCTTTAAATGTTATCCACTGAGGCATTTAAAACACAAACAAACAACCTAAGACTGGTTCGCTTTAGAGGCCTCATTATCTTTCTATGCTAGAGAACCTTATGGATAGTGTCCTTAATTTACCCATTGGTATAGAATTTAACACACCTTTGAGACAAAGAGCTTACACAAATACAGGCCAGCTCCGAACTGTATTATGTGATTTGTTAATCTGTGGAGATGAAACTCTTCAATGACTAGGCACTACCTACACTAACAATGAGGGTTGGTAATAGGGCGAAATTTCCAATAATATTCCTTCGCAAAGGCAGAACCGTGCCCATCAGATTAATACAGGCCATAATAAAGCAAGGATGGCATTACAATAGCAGACACATGGTGGTTTGCGGCCATTTTTCATTGCTTTGCCCATTTTTAATGGGTTGTTTATGGCTGAACGTTGAGAGTTCTAAATAAAAGTTCTTTATCAGATGCAAAACAATTTTATTTGCACTTCGTTCACAAATGGTACAATTCAACAGTTTAATCCTATCAATAAAAGTTGTACAATCATTACCACAATCAATTTTAGAACATTTTCTTCTTCCTTGTACTCATTAGTATAATTAATTACTGTAACTGTTTTACTAGTTATTGGTGTTATTATTATTATTAATTAGTGTAATTGTTATTTTTAATGTGGCAAAAATATACACAATGAAAATCCTCCAATTCCAAAGTCCTCCAATGCCACACCTTCTACAAGTTTACTTCAGAGTCACTGATTGTATGCTTCATGCTGTGTAACCATTATTGATATGCTTTTCCAGATCATCCCACTACCAGTAACGTAAACTCAATGCCTGCTAAGCAAAAACTCCTCCGGCTTCACCAATGGTACCACAGGTCAGCTATGGTTTCCTTGTTTTCTTGATATGAAATTCAAATATACGTCCATAGTTAAATCACTTTTAAAAAGAGTTGAAAGAGTTGTATATACATGATTACCATCAATTCTAATGCTCCCCCAGACCCCTTATTGTTTGCTCCTCAATTCCCTCACCCTTCCTTCACCCCCGATAAACCTTTGCATCAGTTATTGTCTCTATGTAGCCACTCCTTTTGTGCGCCATAAACCAAAAAACCTAACAGAAACAATAAAAAATCAAAACCAAAATGAAATAGAAGGAAAAAATAGTAACATAAAGGTAAAATAAAAAGCAGGAAAGAAAAAAACCACTAGCAATATTAAAACAGCCAGAGAAGAAATTTCTGTCATGGAACAAAGGAGAATATCTTAGCCTAGAACAAATTCAGGTTGAGGCAAGAGGGAGGTCAAGTGATATCTTAGTTTGACCCACCCTAGTTGATAGTCCAGCTGTTCCAGGGCCTGGCCTGTGGCCAGAGGGGATCTGCAGACTCCATCTCCCTAGAGAATCTGCAGATGAGTTTGGGGCGCCCGCTGTCCTCCATCTCTTCTACAAATTGGTTGCTCACAATTTAAGCTCTGATACGTTCCCCGTCATCGTATTGGATTTTGATAGCGTCATCTCTGAATGACATTGACTGGTGTGCTCCTTATCTGAAGACAAGCCTTTAAGACCCCAGGCAATATTCCAATTGATAGCTGGGCACAAGCTGCTTTCTCCATCACACTTTGCTGTAGCACCCTTATCTTCAGCGATCTCTTCATGAGGGCAAGTATCTATCGGGCTTGAGGCTAGAACTAGGTGGCAGCCCAGAATCCACCTGTTTGTCCACGGGTCATGAATGACTGGTTTACATTAGTGTCTATGACTTCAATTTCTTTGTCATGACTTATTTCAGTGGCTACACATCTGGTACAATATTGAATAGGAGAAACATTTGGCCTTTCACCATTGTCTATGCTGTTAGTAATAGGTGTTTCACAGTTGTACTTATTGAGGTGAGGAAGTTTCCTTCTATTCATAGTTCACTAAGAATTTTATCAGGATTGAGTGTTGGATGTTTTTAAGTGTTTTTTACTGCATTTACTGAGATGATCGCAGTTTTTGTTTCTTTAAATTTGTTAACATGATTAATAACTTTGTTTGACTTAAGAATTTAATATAAACCCAACCTTATATATTTAGGATAAACTCTACTTGGTCATGATATATTTACCTATTACAATTGTTGCATCTAATTTGCTACCAGTTTGTCAAGATCTTTTATATCTATGCTCATGAGGGATATCACTTTAAAGTTTTCTTCTTTGTAATATCAGGGTAATGCTAGTCTCCCAAGTGGGAATTGCAAAGGTTTTCTTCTTTTTCAATGTTTTAAAAGAGTTTGTACATAATTGGTATCATTGCTTCCCGGCATGTTTTGTAGAATCTACTAGTAAAGCCTTCTGTGTGCTTAGAGTTTTCTTTAGCAACCAGTTCATTTGAAAACAAACAAAAACCAACTCCTGTAATACACAGCTCAACAAACTATTCTCTATTTTCCTATTAATACTTTCAGAATTTATACTTATATAATTTCTCACATTTCAGCTATTGAAAATTTGTGTTTTACTCTAGACAGTTTCTATTGGTAGGCCTTCAAGTTCATGAGTCTTTTCTTTTGTAATATTGAATCTACCATGAATCCCTCCTCATGTGTAATGTTTATCTTTTTCATGTGGTTTCTCTCTAAAAGTTTGACTTGGATCTTTTTGTTGTCTTCCATGATTCAATATAATGGACCCAATCTTTGATATAGTTTTTTGGGCATTTGTAATACAGTTATAATAGCTGTTTCAATGTTCTTGTCTGTTAATCCTACTAGCATATTAATAGATCAATTGATGTTCCTCCTCATTGTGAATCACACTTTCCTGCTTCTTTGTATGCCTCACAAGAAAACTCAAAGCCGTTAAGTTGATTCTGAAATTTTAAATGGAATACTCAACATTATAAAGTTCATGTTACCGGATATTTTTGAGTTCTTACAAATATTCTAATATTCCAATAAAAAGTAAAATTTTGCTGAAGATAATCAAAGAACGGGTGCAGCAGTACAATGACAGGGAGACAGACACCAGAGGTTCATGATGGACTGAGAAGAGAATGCAGAACAATGGATATCACCGCTGATGTCAGATGGATCTTGGCTTAAAGCAGAGAACACCAGAAAGACATTTATGTGTGTCCTATTGACTATGTGGCCCATAACCAACTAGGGATATCCTTGAGAAGAATGGGAATCTCAGAAGACTACATTGTGCTCCTGAGGAACCTGTAGAGGGATCAAGAGGCAATTGTGCAAACAGAACGAGGGAATACTTCATGGTTTAAAGTCAGAAAAGGTGTGTGTCAGGGCTGCATCTTCACATGGTACTTATTCAATCTGTGTGCTGCGCAAGTCATCAGGGAAGGTGGATTATATGAAGAAGAATGCAGTATCAGGATTGGAAAATGGCTTATTTAACAAGCTGGGATGTGCAGATGAGACCATCTTGCTTGTTGAAAGTGAGGACTTGAAGCACTTGCTGATGAAGATCAAAGATTGTAGGCTTCAGTATGGATTACAACTCAATGTAAGGAAAACAAAAATCCTTACAAGGACCAGAAGGTAATGTCATGGTAAATGGAGAAAAAATATAAGGATTTTGTCTTGCTTGAGTTCACAATCAATGTCCATGGCAGCAAGTCAAGAGATCAACCGATGCATTGCATGACATAAATAAAGAACAAA